GCGGTGTGATCAGAGTGTATCCAGGGCAGGTGGGTGTACAGTGTGCTCAGTACAGTACAGAGATCTGCGGTGTGATCAGAGTGTATCCAGGGCAGATGGGTGTACAGTGTGTTCAGTACAGTATGGAGGTCTTTGCATAGAGTACCATGCATGGTGTGCAAGATGCTGTGAGTGTCTGGTACAGGGTTAGGTGTGCAGTATGCTCAGAGCAGTTGGGATTGGGTGCAGAGTGCGCTCTGTAAAGAGTTTGACTTTGGGTCTGTGCTGTACACAGGGTGTGTCCTAGCTGGCAGCTGTGGGTCTAGAGCTCTGAGCTCAGCCTGCAGGCTCATTAATCTGCTCCCCTGCACGCCAACGCGGGCTGTTTGCTCCATAAATAAGTAATCAAGGCCGGGTCGCACTAATGGCTTGTGAGAGGCAGATGTGAGTAGCTGGAGGCACATGGGTTTACAGTGATCCACATTGTTCAGCAATCTCTCCCAGCCTGTTTCCAAGCAGCGCAGCAAGGGTGCATTAAGGGAAGGCTCTGAACACGTGACCTCCATTATTCCTCAGCTGCACCCTGTCTCAGAGGACTATCAGCAGCCATCCACAGAAAGAGCTCCTCTCCCAGGTAGACGCTGAAGGAAGTTCTCGTGGATTTCGGTGCTCTGAAATACTGTACGGTTATGTGCAACGAAGACGGCCAGTGCCCATCTCCAGAGTGCAGAGGTATTAATAATGCACAATCATATTTGCAGGAGTTCTTACATTAGCCCCTCTGTCCTGCAGCGTACCTGCCCCCCTCCCCACCACAGACAGATACCAGCATGCAGAAACCACAGAACTCCTAGACAAAGCAGCTGAGGTCATCCTGACCTGACCAGACCAGCCTGTATACAAATGGCCATGTTGCCGGCAACACTTCCCCCCTCCATAACAGTGGAGGAGAGGGTGCATGTGCTATTATCATTATTAATTGTGCTATTATTGTTATTCATTTAATGGTTATTATCTTATTATTAATAATTCATTTTCCTAACAATTTTATCTGAAAAGACTGACTGTACCTGCTTATGGAGTGCAATGGAGTCCACAGCTGGGATTGAAGGGTGTTGGCCCGGGTGTGTTTGGGTGGGCTTGGGCTGACAGTCCTCTGACGACATGAACAGGCGGGCTGGGCTCCCTTGTTGTGTCACTCCTCTGTGGATCAGGCGCTGTCAGGATCAGGGTGGAAGGTGGAGCAGTGAGCCCCGTCAATCAAACCCCAACCACCCTGGAATCCATTCCGGGCTGCGGGACACCGGCACCTGGGAGCGCTGGGCCAGAGGCCTGCAGCCTCAGCAGGGTTGGGCAGCAGCTGGGGGGGTCTGGTCTCGTAACTGCAAGGTTAGTCCCGTTAAGCAAACTACCAATTCGGACCGCTAACAAATCGCTCCGCAGGAAAAGGATCTCGAGGACCCCCGTGACCCCCAGCAGTCAGGGTCGTGCGGCTCGGCTGGGTGCCCTCGTTCTGTACATCAGTGCCAGAGGCAAGGCGGCATGCTCTGTCCAGGGCACGACAGACACGTAGCCCGGGGAAGAGAGAACAGTGGTGGAAACTGCCCTCAGGGGAACAGCGAGGAGCTTGGCACTGTCTCACATTGTTTGTGCACGACTGGAAGTCCGAGAGGAGGTGTTAACGGCTCAAGGTAGCTGGAAGTGGGGGGCGCCAGGGCAGGCAGCTGGCGAGGCAGGCGAGAGCTCTCGGGCTCTAAGGTTTGCCTACGTGCACAAATGCAGCCATGTGGATGAAACACAGGAAATGCCAATGGAGCACACCTACGTCACTGTCCGTGGAGAACGGTTTTGAGAATGCACAGCTCCAGAAAGCGGAGGACACAATTCTTACAATTGTTAGCAGAATCGGCGTGGTGCACCATGGGAATGTGACAGGACTCACTGGGTGATGCCTTATTGGTGAGCTGTCCTTGTCCGGACTTGCCCAGCCTTCCCATCACTCCTCTCTGCTACAACACCCTGTTGCTCTCTCTCCTGCCCTGCTCCGCCACACTGCCCCCTCCGGCTGACCCAGTGCCATGCTCCTTTTTCCCTGGGCCTGATGACCGGGGTGGGAGAACAGTCTCAGGCCACAATCAGGAGGAAACACGAGGAGCCATGACTGGCGCTGCTATTAACAGAAACATACTTCAACTACTGGGACCCAATATTCCAGATTTGTCAATGACTTCAGAATCGCCAGTTGTTTATTTCTGTGGTGCCCCCTCCCAGTGTTCAGCTGCCCAGCTGTGTCTTTGCTTCCAGACTCACGGTGACGATTCCTGTACCCGTCATGGGGAGGTAGAGTCACGCTCCCAGCCCAGCAGGGCTCTATAGGAGTCTCCCCGCACTGCCCGGAGGAGAGGGCTATGTCCGTCCATGACCGCGCCACAGGCCTGCAGTGAGGGCACAGGCTCAGAGGTTCGCTGGCCGCTGACGCAGACCTGGCTGGTTAAGTCCTTCCCCACCCCCCCCAGGTGTAGATTATGCTAATTATGCACCGCCACAAAGGGGAGCCCCAGCCACAGTGACGTGAGCCGGGTTCAAGTCTGTGACAGCTGGATCACAGAGCTCAGCCTGCCTCCAAAGCAAAGGAAATGTCCGGAAATCGTGCTGGATTTGTTTTAACACTCTGTTTCTTTTTAATGACAGTAGCCATTATCCACAAGATTGCCCAGCTCATACCACCACTGTACCGCTGGAATGTGCTGGAACTCTAAGTAACAGTAGGAGCCCTGGAATTTTATGTGATGCGCTCAGGGTTGCAGGACAGACGGGAGGTCTTCTACAATGAAGCACAGGTACATGTTATAGGACTGCTCTCGGCCCTTTCTCAATGCAAGGCTCCTGTGCGCTCTTATGCACTGAAGGGATAATATAGTTCTTTGTGGTTTACGCCAAGATGCCAGAAAACAAGAAATATTTATGTGATTTTTGCGGACCAGATCCCAGCTCTACATAACCATGAAAGGACTTCTTTCCTTCTCTCGTTTGCTTTCTCATTGCCTCATTGCAGATGTTCTCGGTTGTGGTGATCCACGCCGCCTCTGGGGTCCCCAAAAAATGTTCCTGCGCTCCAGGGAGCGCAGACGAGATTCTCTCGGAGATCTCCCCGAGAGAGCGCGCGCGCGCATGTTTCTCAGGGCCTGCGCGGGCCTGGTGTCGTTCGTGTCTGCACGGTGCCGCCCAGCCTGCCTCTGGCCTGGGAGAGCACAGGGGCTCTCCCAGGAGAGCCCCTCTGACTCCAGACTCTGCTGGAGGGAGAGTCTGCCTGTCCCCTCTAATCCCGGGTGGGTTGCAGAGGGGGCGGCAGGAAATGCTAGCACATTCCTTGCATGTCTCAAAACGTTACAAATTGCTGAGCGTGGTGAACGGACTGGACACAGAGGGTGACCTGGGGGTCGAGGTGCTGGTGGGGCTGCTGTAGGAGTTTTGTTGCTTGCTGTGTACTGTTGTGCACTGTTGCGTGCTGGAGCCCTGCAAACAGTGCAGTTAATCAAATACCGAAGTGGGAGCTTGAGTCTTTGCAGACCTTCCCCATGCAAACAACTCCAACGAGAGAGCTCCTGCCTGGGGCCGGAAAAAACGGGATTTTTTCCGAACACATGGGATGAGGTTGCAACACAGGCTGGAACAAGATAAATGGAATTGTGCATGGAAGTCTTGAGAACAGAAAAAGAGGACAGATTACTCAGCTGTGTGGGTCGGACATAATTCAAGCATGGATGTGTTTACTTGTTTACTTGTCTGCGCTGGGCCTGAAGCACAATGTGTGCGTTTGCATTTGCTGTGTGTGTGTGTGTTTTGTAATTTGCGCTGGGGTAGGAGCTGGGAGGTTTGCTTAAAACAAAAATGAAAGATTTTTTCAGTTCTGGCCTTTAAAAAAGAGAAAAAAAAACATTAAATAATTCAGAAACCACTCTGTCAGTGCCTGCAGGATATTTTAACCCGATAGCCCCATTGTACGTGTCTCCACAAGCTGGGGTAAGTGTGTGTGTGTGTGTGGGGGTTCTGAGTGTGTTCCTGTCTGGTTGGGGGCAACAGCAACGGCTCTAGTCCAGTAGACCCACCTTGCTGCTGTTTCCCAGTCCTGGTGTTTCACTGTGCTGCTGAGCAGGTCACATGGTCACAAAGAGAATGCATTGCTGTGGGGGTCTTCCTGGCTGGGACACCATCAACCCCTGCCTGGAAGAATCTGTCTTTTAAAATAAAAAAAAGTGGATTCCTGTCCAGACGTTTAACTGGTACAGGATGGAGTGGACCACACAGGCATCTAGTGTCTCGTTTGAATATATAAACCAGTGGACACATGTGGATTGACGTCTTTACACAAAGGGTTGCAGGGGTATGGAACAAGCTACCCAGCCATGTTGTTGAAGCCGATACCCTCCTTTGGAATTCCTTAACTGATGCTTACAGATGTGCTCTCTCTCTCTCTCTCTCCTCTCTCCGCTCTGATTTCCTGCCTCCGGCCCCCATTCCTCACCCCTCCTCCTCCTCCCCTGGGCAGGAAAACGGCCACATTCCGCTGTCCAAGAAGAGAGAGGAACTCGGAAAGAACATGTTTGATGTCACCGGCAGTATATTTTCGGCCCGAGTAAACAAAGCCCGGGGTATATTTAGCGCGGGCAGGAAGCCGGAGGAAAGTGGCCGGAGGTGTGAGTGGGGACTCCTGACTTTCCCACAGTCCGACCGGAAATGCGGCCTGACAGCTGGGAGGGGGGTCAGTCTCAGGGGACGCAGAGGGTCCATGGAGGAAGAGCGCCACTGGAGTGGCCCTGCACTCACCCCCCGCCCACCCAGCCCTGAGAGAGAGAGCTGGCCCTGTCCCCACACCACCGTCCCCTGAGCTCCTGTCCTCACACTGCTGTCCTGAGAGCTGTCCCTGTCCCCACACCACCGTCCCCTGAGCTCCTG